AATAAAACTTATTAATTTTCTTCGTTTTTATTGTGCTATGTTATAGTGATCATATTTAAAGCAGCTTTAGCGCTTAATATTATCTACTATTAACTTACTTTCGTTTTCTTTTTGTTTCCCTTTTTAGTTCGGTTTTGTTTTTATTGTGCTATATATATATGTGGGGACAGCTTAAGTGGTCGTCTTAAATAAAAGACACGTTCTTAAACAAAAAACATATATATTGAAGATTAAATTTACATAAGGACGGATGATTAACAATTAACGATTAAATAACAAAAAAATAATGAATGATTAAGAGTTCGTCTTTGCGATCATAACTCCTCTTTGGAGTCCATCTCATCACGTCTTTTTTGGTTCGTTCTCCAACCCGCTCTCTCTCCGGGAATTCCCCACTGCTTCCTCGTCGTGCACGGGGATCAGCTTACGGCTTACATTGACTGGCGGGACTTCTAGCTTACGGATCAGCTTCCAGCTTACAGCTTTGTCTACAGGACAGGAACTGGCACCACAGATAGGAACTGGCACGACATATATATATACACCGAAGAGCCATTACATTATGACCACCCTCCATCTATAACAATGGGCTCGCCCAGCAACAATGTTTTCATGGGGCACATTAGGACCCATAATACTCGTAGAACAATCCCTGAAGTCTGTATATTACTCGAAAATAGTTGCAGACCAGGTTCCCTCATTCATGGCAACAGTTTTTCCTGCGGAGGATGGTGTTTACCAACAGGATAATGCATCATGTCTTAAGGGTCGAATCGTCGTGAAACATTCCAGTGACTTTCAAGTCATATCTTGGCCCCCTAATTCCCCTGACCTTAATCCAATAGAGCATTTGTGGTCCTACTTGGAAAACCAAATTCGTGCTGCCACGCTACCCCATCGCAATGTGAGGGAATTGCAAGACCAGTTGGTGAGCGCTTGTTACCAGATACCTCAGACTTCCTATCAGCACCTTGTGGAATCAATACCACGATAGCGCCACTTCTTAACAATGCTTCACTTCTTTTAATTTTGGATACTAGTATTTGCAATTTGTGCTAAAAACATCACAATGGTATAAGGACTTCCCTTGACTAGCGAAGATATTGTGTATTGTGATTAACTAAAAACTTTTTTTTCATTTAAATAAATAATGTAATACAATTTACACTATATATCATAGATTCTCAACCTTTTTAACGTTGCCGTCCCCTTAAGGAGCAAAAAACATTTTAACGTCTCGGTTTCCAACAAAGGTTTTAAGCTGGTGAGCTGGCGTTTTAATCCATGCAAGTGCGATGGTCGAGTCTGTATGCAAAATGACTTCGTCAATGTCCATTTTAAGAGAATTATAAATCTTTCTTACACGTTGAGAAAGAAGTAAGCAAGCTGATAGCTCTAAACGTGGTATAGAAATTACTTTAATGGGGGCAACACGAGATTTGCTTGCAATAATATGGCAAGTGCTTGATTCAGCTAGGCCTGGGCAATACATGTAAACCACAGCTCCATACGCTAATTCCGAGGCATCAGCGTAACCCATTAAAACAGTTTTTGTAAAAAAGTCAGTTAAAATGTATCTATTAATGCGAATAGTTTCTATATGTTGCATAGATGATGCAAAATTAAGCCACTGACCTGCGATTTGTGGTGGAAGGGGATCGTCCCACGACAGTTTATGTACCCACAATTTTTGGAGAAACATCTTTGCTTTCGTGATGACAGGTTGCAAAAGGCCTAATGGGTCATACAGTCTTGCTATAAAACTCAGCACTTCACGCTTAGTGAATTTGGTGGTCATTTCTGGGATGGATACTTTAAACGTAAATTGATCTTCAATTGAATTCCACCTTACACCCAAAGTTTTGACACTCGCATCAACTTCTGATGCAAAATCATGCTCTGCTGGGTCACCTAATGGTAAACTGTTCCTTAACTCCCTTGAATTAGAGTTCCACTTATGAAGAGACATTCCACAAGTTGATAGAATATCGTTCAGCTGTTGTTGCACTTTCTGAGCACCTTCTAAACTTTGAGCACCTGAAACGATATCGTCCATATAAATATCTTCCAAAAGAACTAATGATGCCAGTGGAAATCGTGATTCATCTTTAGCCAACTGCTTGAGAGTTCTGATTGCGAGAAATGGAGCGCAAGCAGTTCCGTAAGTGACTGTCTTGAGTCTGAATGTTACCGGTTTTGCGTACTCTGAATCTTTCCACACAATTCTTAGAAGATCAAGCTGCGATGGATCTATTTTGATTTGTCGAAACATCTTTTGGATGTCTGCCGTGAAAGCATATTTATGTTTACGAAATCGAGTCATGATTTCGAAAATGTCCTCGACCACGTCCCCCTTCAAAATGACATCATTCAAGCTCACACCCGTTGAGGTACTTGATGAAGCGTTGAACACAACACGTAACTTAGTGGTTGCCTTCTCTGGACGATAAACACCGTGATGTGGGAGGTAATAGGTAATTTGATTACCGGAATTGCTTTCATTATCATCATATTTTTCCATATGATTCATGTCTAAGTACTCCTGCATAAATGATTTGTATAAATCTTGCATTTCTTGATTTCTGGATAATCTTTTCCATAGTTGATTCAGACGTCGCACGGCTAAGTCTTTGGACTCTCCTAAACGCTCAACGTCCTTAACTGGCATCTCTACGATGAATCGTCCATGCTCATCTCTGCGATAAGTATTCTGAAAATGTGATTCACAATACTTTTCTTCTTCACTCTGAATTTTCATTTTATAGTCTATATCCTCTATTCTCCAGAATTTTTCTAAGCAGTCTTCGACTTCTGTTTGAGTGGTTATGAAACCGCAGTGAATTTCTGGAGTGCGGGTATTTATTGCTCCAGTTGCAATGTATCCAAAAACAGTATTGCGAAACACCAAATCACTGTTTGCAACGCGGATATCTCCAGCCTTGATAATTTCGAAAAATACCTCCGCGCCTAAAAGCATATCTATTCTTCCAGTTACCGCGAAATTAGGATCTGCTAATTGTTGCGGAATTTCTAACTTATCTACTTTGAAGGATGTAACAGGAAGAAAATCGGTAATTTTGGATACCACTAAAAATCAAGAGTTTTCAAGAAAGAGCTATTACCATTACAAATTGTAGCTTGTATTTTTGATCTTATTGTAGTTTCGTTTCCGCCCAAACTCGAAACCCGATAATTCATTTTTTCTTGAGGTACACCTAATTTATTAGCGAAATTAGCTGTACAAATATTTGACATGCTGCCTGAATCTAACATCGCCCTACATTGCATATAAGATCCATTTATAGGATTTAAAACCCAAATTAAAACAGTCGGAAGAAGCCCTGTTTTATTTTTCGAATTAATGCAAGATAAAGAAGCAGAAACAATTTCATTATTTTGTTGATGAATATTAAATACCGCTGCTTCGGGATTGAGGTCATGACCGTGAGAAGAAGAAGACAAAACTGCAGAGTTGTTTATAGTTTCACGTTCTTTATGGAGTAGTGTATTATGCTTTGAGTGGCATATGTAGCATAAATGTTTCGATTTGCTATTCAAAAACTCGTGTTGACTGCTTAGGCAATTTAAACACAATTTATGTTTTGATACCAATTCACTTCTCTGATGACTATTCAATTTCAAAAAAGAATCACACTTAAAGATCTGATGATTCATTTTACACAAAATGCATGATTGAGTTACATTTTTATTGATTAGAAATGTTTTCGTNTTTCGTTTTTGGATTTCTCTCTTGACTTAACTTAAATCTTAAAGGAGTGGTTTTGCTAACATTTTCTAATATTTGAGCTCGTTTTTCCAAAAATGAAAATAAATCATCTAATTTAGGAACATCGTTTGAGCTAATATTTAATTCATACTGCCTTCGAGTTTCCCTATCCAATTTTTGAAGTACTATATTTAAAACAAAAATATCAGAAAGATCATTTCGATTATACTCTTATATTTAAATGCTCTTAAAATTTTTAATGCTCTTATATTTTTCTTGACACAATCATTTAAATTACGTAAGTCTTTAGCCGACTCATGCGTTAATTTTTCTATATCTAATATTGATTTAACGTGAGATTCTACTAGTATTAACCTTTTGTTCTCGTATCTTTCTTCTAAAGCTGTATATAATGAAGTGAATGTATCGTCTAATGCAGGGCTTCTTAAACTGTGGGTCGCGACCCCCAGGGGGGTCGCGAGACTACTGAAAGGGGGTCGCAAAGATCTGATACTTTTCAATCATTATAAATAAAATTTTAAAATTAGTATACACACTACGTACAAATATAAATACAAATAAAAATCATACAAAATACTATTGTAGTTTTATTATAACTATTTTTTGAAAAAAGTGGCAATGCAAAACTGTTATGTAGGGCCTATAAATAAAAATATGGAAGTAGCATTTAAAATAATAAATACAACGCGCTCCTCGATTTTCAACTGAACGTTCGACATTGATGTCTGGCCGCCGGCGTCAGTGTTTGCAAGATAACTTAGTGATTATAAGTACCCAGACGCCGCGTCGCCTTACAGCGTACACATACAATACGGAAGCATAATCAAGCTAGGCTAGGCGAATCGGCATATTATTTTTATAAAAGAATAATAAAAAAAATTAAATGAAAACTTCTTTTTCGGCGTCTTTGTGATACGGTGCCTTTGTGCGCTGCACACTTTGAACACGCCATGCGTCGGGGTTGATCTGATCGTAATTTGTTGTCATTGCACTGGTAAAGATTCAAGTGTAGTTATTTTTCTGTTTGCACTTCAGTTTGGACTCAGCTTTGTCTTC